ATATATATATATATATATATATATATATATATATAACACTGCGCACACCTGTAAAATTTATTTATAAGATATGTTATAGAAGCGAAATCAAAAACAAGATCAATTGTCATTCCCCCGGTAAAATTTTTGTCAGATTAAATACCTTCTCCAAGTTATCATAAATGCAAATAGAAATGCACAAAATTATGACCCTAAATATCAGCAAACAAACCAGAGCTCAGCCAAATAAATAAATTGAAAAAGTTTCCAAGTTGATACGATAAAAACCTCATATTTACTGCATGCATTTATCGGCGAAACTAAGATGTAATAGAGAGCCTTTAAAAATATTTCAATAAAAAAAATTAGCATCACACAACTGTTGATTAAGCAACTGAAATTTGATACAAGTCTTACACAAAGCAGTCGGCGTGCCATACTTGTCCGGATGAATTTACAATTTGTTCATGAAGATCGAAACCATCATTGCAACGTACACAAGCCAAATTTTCAATCCCCAAACTTAGTTCTCCATTTATCACCCGATCCATGCCGCCGCAGACCATCAATGAAGCGAATGCTGCTTCAATGCCTTCCTGTAACTCACCATTATTACGTATAATGTGTGGAAAAAAAAAGTGAAAATACAACATCCAAAATTTTTGTTAAAGCAAACTTATCGTTCAATAAAAAATTTTCTTCTTGTTAACCCAGCAAACAAAACGTCAAACTTACAATACAAACAATATTTTAAAAAATGTGTTAAACAAATAAAAAAATATTTCACACCGATCAGTGTAAACCGTTTAAAGCACAAAAAAAAAAGTTCTCAGTCATCTGTTTTGTGGTATCAGTGCAATATGAATTTGAAAAAATCAACGCCTCTTCTCATCATCTTTTCTCGATCCCCGTCCTCCTCTCTTTTTCACCTTCTTACCCTCCTTCCCTCACTGACATTCTTCAACAAGCAATTATTCGTCACACGCAATTTTAAATGAAAAAAGTCCTCAAATTTTGTCTTTTTCAGTAATAAAACTTTTTTCGTTACAAAAACTATTGAAATATGCAGTCGTAAAAGTAAAAATGCACTTTATAAAAAGTCCCAAGTTCTTTAAAAACTACCTAGACCACTAAACATTAAATGGAAATTGTTAAAAAATATAACAGCTATGAGAGGAAAAATGAAATAATATACATATAGAGCCTTTTTAGAAATCTTAGAACACTAATTCTCAATTAAGCGTCAAAAGTTTAAACAAAAACAAAGAATTTAAAACTTTTCACAAAGAAACAAATATTGAAACAATAAACAATAATAAAGGATCAATTAAAGGCGAAACTATTAGGTTCATTAGACTTGCTGCTCATCATCGCTCATCTGTCAACTGATCACTATTCTACTAGATGTTTTTGATAGGCAAAAAACATAGATTAGTAATGAGAGGGACAAAACGAGACCCACATAACTAAACTGAATCATTTTTATTTATTGCAGTAAACTTCTGAGCATTAAAAAGAACCGTGCCTTAGAAAAGTGTTCACCAAGTGTAAAAAAAAAAAAGAAAAAACACTTTTTTCTTCTTCCTATTCAAACATTAGGTCCCAAAGTAACATAAAATAAGCAACAAATTTATTTGAGAATATTAGAGGCGTAAAAAATTACAGGAAGGCATATGAACTACACTATGTGTATGCTGCTTTCTGCAAAACAGAAAAACTACCACTGAACAATCGTCTGTCTGCACGGATGCTATTGCTGATGTTACTGCAGCTGTCAATTGCTGTTGCAAATCAACAGTGGGCGGGCTACTGGCTATAAAACCGACTCTGAAACTTGTTGAAACTAAACTGCCCATAAGGTCAGAGTAAACGAGTGAATTAGTGAACGAATGAGTGAGTGAGGGAGCAGTCGGTGTGATAGACCAACTTCGACAGTGAAAGCGGCCAACAACCCCGCGGCCAACAGCTGTAAAACTATGTACAACACTCATCGTCAATCGTTAGTGTTGTGCTGTCGGGATTGCCAACAACCAACAATACCAACAGCCTGACTGCTAGTTTCTACTTCTGTTTTATTGTAAAAATGAGAACATGGAGAGAACAACTTCTCTTCGTTTAAAACGTAATTTCTAGAGGCAAAATATTACTCGAAATTAGAAAACCCCACTTATCTAAAACTATATCATGAAAAAACAATTCACCTCAACATTCCAATTACCTTTGCAGCACATAAATCTGAACAGCTCTCCTTTCAATAATACCTAGAGAATAGAGGTTATTTTTATTCAGAAATCTTGAAATTTTTCTTTCTTTTTCACTCTCAGCATGTTCAGCGATTAGAATATTTCTCAAAATTCAAAAAAAAAAGAATTACTGGAATAAACAGCACACAACAATAAAGGCCTTTAAAAATTGCTATTAGAGACAGCAAAAAAAAAAAAACCTAAAACACATGAGCTTTTCTAATTTAGATTTTCAAAATCAGCTACAGAATTTTAGTTA